CAATCAGAATGCACATGTGCAGGAAAGCAGTAGTCCTACTTTTGGTAGTTGTGATGGCAAAGGCAATCAGAATGCACATGTGCAGGAAAGCAGTAGTCCTACTTTTGGTAGTTGTGATGGCAAAGGCAATCAGAATGCACATGTGCAGGAAAGCAGTAGTCCTACTTTTGGTAGTTGTGATGGCAAAGGCAATCAGAATGCACATGTGCAGGAAAGCAGTAGTCCTACTTTTGGTAGTTGTGATGGCAAAGGCAATCAGAATGCGTATGGGCCGAGAGTTGGTTATCCTGTGGATGTCGGAACTCCCACGTGTAACATACTCAAAGAGAGTGCAACTGAACAAAACCCCAATATCTCGTATATAACTAATGATAGCCGTGTCCGATGCAAGCGTAAGGTTCAACGCAACTTAGCAGCAGAGATCTCACGTGGAATAGATGGTGAGGAACAAGCTACATCTGCCCTTTTACCTAGTGAAGTGATGTGCCAAGACAGCACTGACAATGAGAAAGATTGTCCAGCGAGCTCGCACAGGAAAATCGAAAGCGATCTGCTGGACACTTCGTACGCCTTGGAGTCACTGGCTCACGGTGACTCGTGCGAAATCACTGAATTGGCATGTGACAAGACAGATGTATCTCCAGTGGGTGAGGCTGAAGAGTTGCTGGTGCTTTTTATGAAAATCAAAGGACTCCAGTTGAAGATCAAGGCTGGTAGCATCATCAAGATTCATCCTCCTTGGTACGTTCTTTTTATGATGTAGCATTCACGCTATTCCCTTTGCCCACAAAGTATTCCTAGTAGATGTCAGCCTACTACAACCCGTGAATCCAATACTGCTGTTACTGGACATTGTTAGAAGTTGGTGTGATCAGATTTTCAGTAGCTATAGACTAAACCTTCTCAACTATGGGATGTCCTTGAGTTATCCAACTTGGAATATCGAAACTGATCCAAATAATGCTGCATTATTTAGTTTAACATTTACAAATGCGACCTGTGAGCTATGAACTACACACATGAACAAAGCCATCATTCAAACTGGTTAAGCTCCGAACTTCGAGCAGTTGATTTATAAATGCAATATTTGGAATGGACTATGTTCGGAAGTAAGGGTGTCCTTATAAGGTAAACTAAAATAACCATGTCATTGTTGCGAGATATTTGTGTGTCTGCAGGCAGCAGCTTCGAGGGAACAAACTGGGAAAGCCTGTAATTCTCTGCACTAACTTTAGTGAAACAGTGAGATATGAGGACGTGCCAGAAGTTTCCCCTAAACAGACTCTCGAATTTCTGTGGAAATGCCCCTGTAGACAGGGTGAGCTTGTTGTATCACCGTGTATAAATGAATTGTGCAAGGAGTTGTAATAATATGCATTGATTGCATGTATAGACCTATATATGCAAACTAGGCTGTGTGCAAGTTTATTTTATGGCAATACGACTGTATGAATTTCACTACGATTTTGCTGGATGAAGGTGTATTCTTAAAATTTCGATGTTAGGCGTTACATACTAACAACTGTTCTTCATTTTAGACATCAACATTCCACCGGAGTACTGCCCAGCATCTCTGTCAACAGCATGGATCACACCCATGGTAATAAGATGAAAGGGGCGATCCTAGGAAAATTGGTCACACAAGTTTGTCGTGTTGAAAACTAGTCACACAGGCAATTGGTCGTGAATAACAGTATAGTCATAACAGGGTGAGGGAAAAGAGGATTAATAGCAGGAGCAGTGAAAGGAATGTGAAGAAGGAATATAGAAGAGCGTGAGGAGGCTGAAGGAAGATCCTTTATATTCCTGCATCTTTTTTTCACCCCTTCTTCTCTACTATGCCCATGCTCTCCCACAGTGAGCTGAAAAAGAGCTGAACACACTTGAAATATTCATATCTAGTTCTAATTGTTAATAATACCAGCAGGATACTAGTAAAAATGGTAATATGCAAGAGACTCTCCTTATTATGCACACATATATATATGTAGGGTTTTGCTTGCATAATTTGTACTAATCTAGTTGCTAAATATGCCAGTAATGCGATACTGAACTGGTGGCAAAGAGTGGCAATGGATTAGCGTGTTAGTGCTTAACGCGAACCCTGCATAATTTAGTCATTGAAATTTTTCTGTTTACTGTAATATCACACTATACTGCCATATGTACATTATGTATTTGTAAAACAACTCCACAGCAATGCATATATTACACAGTATAAACAGCAGCGATGTAGCATTCAAATTAAGATACTGCGATAATCACGATTAGCAAGTTGTTTTTTAACACTGGTCAGGTGTCCTCCGTTCCACGTACCTCTTCGTGCAAGGCTGACGAGCAAGATGTGCTGAATCAATCACAGCACCTTGAAACCATCGACAACTCTCAGGTGAACTACATGCAACATTCACCCCTGACGATGCTGGAATCCATTGAGAGGAGTCCTGTAGGGGCTGGAGCGAGCGGGTTATGCATTACTGGGAAGGTGTGCAGAGTGTTTTGCCAATCATGTCCTGATGTTCCTGGCATGTCACCTAGGTACGTGTCCCAGTGCACGTTTGCTTTGTTGTGTGTATATGATGTGTATATTTTTGTCTTTATTGCAATCAGCATTGAGAATGTTATAATAGCAATCCCTACATACTTAAATTACGTTGTTAAGTGTTTTTCTCTGTTACTCCTGCCCAACGGTTGCTCCAGGTCAGGACTTTATGATTCTATTCATCTTAAATTACCAACTTCCATAACTATATGGTTATTTTACCCATGAATTTTTGTCATCTTGTAAAAGTGTGTAAATAGAGAAACTACTTCATGAGTCAAATCGGTCAGTTCTGGCTAAAAATGTATTGGTACACTGAAGCTCACCGCTAAACTAGTTTATTTCATTGTATATAGCACACCTACGTGTAGCATGTTATCTATATTTCGTCAATTTATTTATTACATGTTGATTCCCTCGCTGATGTATTGGTATAGAGTTACCGTTATCCCATTTCAGTTATGGCGAATCACGGAAGTTACTGAATATTCAAGAACGTCGTATCAGGTGAAGTTACATAGCATACGTGGTAGGTTAGCAGTTGTACATAATTTGGCTGGCTAATCAGCTATTATGCTGCCATCGGCCTGGACACCACACATACACAGGATTCCCTTGTCGAGTTTTAGTTTAAACCAGAACTTAAACTGCTCAAGTAATTTTTAAGTCATCAATGAAACCCTGCTTGAAATCATGCTTGCCTCTGTCACTTCCTACCAAATCATATTTGATAATTCAAATGCTACTATTTTGACCATTTTGGTTATATGTAAAATGCATATACATTACCTAAACTGAAGCACAATATTACAGAATTTCTTGGTACTTCTACTCAGGTGCAGTTATATCATTCACCAGCTGGCATAATAAAATTGTCGCTATGGTTTATTACATTTTTGCAAAGGTGGCAAGAGCAAACTGTAGCCCTGCGTATGGCAATGCTCACAAACCAGAATAGTCATTTTAGTACGTTGAGGATAATAGACTTGCATTAGTTTCAATTTAGTAGGCATCTTTATAATATCTTTAAAAATAATATCTATAAAATTTAATCTAATCTAAAAAAATAATAGTATCTTTAAAAATAATAGGCATCTTTATAACGGAACTCACTGTGCAGATTTTGCTGAACATTTCTAATGCACTTCTAGTCTACCTCATAAATATCAGTGGCTCCATGCTTGAGGGAATTATACTATAGTTTTATACAAAACTAATTATACAATTTTATGCTAATGTCATTTGCTGCCTCTGCTTCCGCAGATGGGCATTGCTTCTCGAAGATTCTGCAGGGATGTGCTGTGAGTTGCAACTATCAACAAGCTTACTCATAGACCAATGCTGGCAACACCTGTTGGCAGAGGGAGAGGGCCAATCCTTCCTCTTTACAAGGCTGCGAATCGTAGCTAGGACGACTGCAGAGAGGTGACCATACTCTCCAGATGCTTAACATCAAAGGAAGTGGTGTGAGCGAGGTTCAGTGATAGGTTCTTTGATAGTAAATATTCCTCTTTGATTAACCAATGCCCAGGAATACACATGAAACCTAGACTGACTCCGTAAGTCGTTGGCACAAATGATTTCATATTGGCATTTAATAAGAAAGCAGAGCAAACAGTTAATTAGTTTTGCCAGTCAGGTCCTATTTCCCACAGCGGGAATTTTGGCATTGTCAATGTATTGACTAGAAGTTTTTATACATGGGATTTTGTCGTTTTACAATCGAGTGTGAACCTAATAAGTTTGCCCTGCTGGTCAGTAGAGCAATATGTCATTGGGCTGGGTTAAAAAGCGTATATTGATTGGGTTCATGAATTCCATGATTCTAGCTCTAGGGGCATATTTTCAGAAACAGAATTAAACTGAAAATTGGTCATAACGGTAACTTTTTCTTATAGACTGGACCTCTATGCACTTCATATAAGGAACCATGTAACTTTACCACGTTTTCGTCAATCGTCTATGAAAAAAAGCTAATGTTAAGACCAATGTTAAGACTAATATTGTTTCTAACAACAGGCCCCAGGTTTACATAATGTTGCACGTGAGTACCTTGTGGGCAGCATCCACAGGGAATTGGATGAATGACACCAGGGCAATTTTGTTTTCTATAATTAAAGACAATTTTCTTGGCCAACAGTCCTCGTAGAAATCAATGTTGGCAGTTAAATGGCTGATGTACAACTGCAGGCACCCACAGCTGTTCTCCGTCATTCGCAAGGTAGCAGACAGTGAAAGCAGCCTAAGCAGCAACAAAGGTCAGGCTCCCTCTCAAGATTTCTGCTATATGCTCACAGCGACACCTGGTGAGAGCAAGTGTCAAAGAAGAGACACATCAGCAGCGAATTTTCACGAAACAAAGGTGTCCTTCCTTCAACAGGTAAACGTGCTAATGTGTGTGAAATGTATTCCCATATGTTTTTTTAGTTTGGTTCTAAACGTAGTAGAATAAATAAACGTGTGTACCCGTGGTATCGTTATGCAATGAGTGCATAATACGCGTGCAACAGTGCATGGCATGCTTCACACTAGAAACCACAATTGTTTTTATTTGTAGGCAGACGGAAGCATGTCTAGATATAGTGTTTGTGTGAGAGTGGTGCACAGTGACATGAGGACGTTATACTGTATTGATGCTAGCACACACAGTACAACGGCAGGCTATGTGAAAGTGCATTTGAGGGAGGCATGTCATATACCAACCAGTGTTATCAGGTCTCTAAGTGAGGGACATGAACATGCTATTGTTCTACGTGATCTTTGTCAGTACAAAGGTATTTTTTTCATTTCTACCCGTAGCCAGTAGGTTGGTTTATTTTGCTATATTTATTGTCTTTATAGTGTCTTGGTGGTCATGCTAAGAAATAACAGTGCATTGTATTAGTACAACCCAAGTTGTGCATTACTGATAATTGTAATCGTTTTACCCATCTGGCATGTGCCGTATTATCCTAAAATTCTTATAATGCATTTTAGTAAATAGCCACAATAGATATCAGCACTATTTCAGTGTTCACAATCAATCAATATCTGCCAGTTGTAAAATATTTATGACATAGTATAATTATAAATACACATTTTCTGTGTTAAAAAGATGGCACTACTGGTGATGGATACAGCAGAGTTCTGCTGGCAGTAGACAAACCACCATGCTCAGAGTTTGAGTGTGCTGTCGGTAGCACAATTATACGCGACACTACATTGAGTGTACTGAAGCTGCCAACTATAACCATGGAGAGCAAGGATATGGATTTGGTAATGGTGTCAGGTGCGATCACATTATGTACTGTGAAATATTTGGATGTGAGAAACTAAAACATAAATTCTTCCTCCGTAATATTTGTGTAGAATAAATAGTGCATTTGTTAACAGAATGCAAGCATTTCATACATAAATTCATTTTATCGTGAGAAAGTTACATAGATCTTCTATTCATTCTGTTATAATAAATGTTTGGCAGTGACTGGTAAGGTTTGGAATGTTCTATGTATAGTGCTTAACTTTTTTTCTATACAGGCACTATAGTTGGAGCAGATGAGGATACAGCTTTCTCCTGGCCAGTGTGCAATGGCTGTGGCAGTGAGACTTTAAAGGCAGACCCAACAGGGTATGTGTGTAGTCATGTTAGAATTCTAGGAAGAACTCTTGAAGCTGGGGAAGAACTCACTAGGTGGCACTGCTTAGTTCACACCATCCTTGTAATTTCTCAGAAGCCTAAGCAGTACATCAAAGTTTCATGTTTCGTTATAAAAATGCATAATTCTTGTTCTGGCGTATCAATCTGCATATAGTGATGCCGATGTATTTTGTGATGTTTCCATTTGTTCCAGGTCATTTTTATTCTGCGAAACGTGCAATCGTGGAATAACAGAACCCATCATAAAAATGAAGTTGGATGTCTTTCTTGATCTATCAGGCATAGTGACCTGCTCCCCGGTGGTTGTTCAGGTAGGAAGCGATGATCATGCTAGGTGACTGTGCATAGTGCTCGTGCTTTTCGGGCATTTATTTTAGGCAGTGGCTACACGTCCGGTTACTGGACGCCCAGCTCCCATGCTACGCGTCTGATCATATATTTCTTATGTGAACCCAACTATATTTTTTCAGTAAAAAAACAAGAAACAATAGGTTTTTACCATAATATTACTTACCTTTAGGTATTTTATCCAAAAAATGTGTTTGTGTAACTTTTGAGGCAACACTAAATCCAGTAAAATCAACGATTTGAAAGGGGACGTGGCCTAATCGTGATGTGGATTTGGGAATCTGTGCTGAGCTGTGTAACGGATGACCGGACGCATAGCCACTGTGTTTATTTTAATTGAGATATAGGTCTCAATGAGATAACCACACTCCCCTTGGAGATTGTTGCCAGCTTGATCAGGCTAACCGAGTGTGCACGTGATGCACGCCCAAATGTCAACATAGCAGTATGCCGTTACTAAGCATTGATTTTAGAACATCCCATGCCCAGTGCTTTTCGGCTAGTGCTGCCTGTCAATCACGCTAATTACCTTGGTGCATTGATTAAAAATCACTAAAAGAAGGTTCTGGTAGGCCATTGATCTTATAGTTGATCATATCACACTCATTATTCGCACTCACACTCACACGCACACTCACACTCAAGTTGTTCGTTGTAGACATCATGTTGTGTACCATTGCTTGTGCACGTTCACAAGGTTTCAGATAAAAGAAGAAAATTTGAGTAATCAGGTTTTGGTATCTATCCATGTGTCAATAAAGATTTGAGCCTAGTATAACCCATGCAGCCAGGCAACTACTATTTAGCCTCTAGTCAGCTACTGTTACACATTCATAAAGTGTATGTTGTGGCGATACAGTATAAATGTATAAAGTTGAGATCAAATCTCCTCAAAATTACTGTTGTGTTATGTACCCCAGATTTTAAACCTGGTGTCACTTACGTAGATTCTGATCTTAGGAAAAGATTAATCAGATTAATACACGTGGCAAAATAATAATGTAGCTATACCCCTGTGTAACCTGCTCAAACCTAGTTTGGGACCCCGGTATATATAGTTCGCATATGTGCTAAATTAATGCGGGGTGCTAAACTAGGATTGGGCCGCGTAACCTATTGAGCAGTTATATTTATATTCGCTTGGTAACATGTTTAATAATTTTTTTCGCTGTTACGCACATCTCACCAATGTCATTACAATCTGAAAATGCACGCTTTTTAATTGTTTCTTCCGATAGATGGCGGGTCAATGCAGAAGAATTTTTAATGCTTTTATGTAGGTAGTATATTAATGCATTTCAAGTGTTCCTACTGAAATAAACAAATGCTTGTGCTTATCTACAATGAAACTTATCTAGTGGTTTAAATCTGTGTGAGTACATATGATAAAGTTACTACTATTGCAGCTTCAGCAGAAGACAATAGAAACGGTGCTTCCACCTGGTGTGCAGACTGAGGTAAACTTAGTAGATGTGTGTAGTAATCGTTACCTGCAGTCTCTAATAGGCTGAATGTAGTTTGTATCATTTCTGTTGTGGGACTATAGTATTTATGAAACGTAAGGCAACCTTGTAGCTACAGCTATTGCATTTTAGTTGTCACAATGGTAAAAACTGCAATATTATTTATAAAAAATCTCAAACTTGAGAATTCCCATTAGTTCAAAGCACAGTTACCTCAATGAGGTACTGGCAAAACTTAACGAACTCAATCCCACCTCTGCCTTCCATTGAATCGCACAACGTGTCATCTCATCATTTTAGGGCTATGAGTTGGACGGTATTCTTGGCCGGCAAATCGGTCCACTCAACTGTTTCGTGAAAGCGTGTCCCGCTGCATCTGTCGTCGTAGGTGTTCCAGCACAGAGATGGCTGCTCGTTGAGTGTCGCTCATGAAAGCATGTGTGTGAGGCGCAAACTGCTGCTGGAGATATGGAAAGATGCTTCTGCTTTTATATCAAACTTGGCCAATGCTGGAAAAATGGCATTATTACCTCTGACCAAGGTCATTAAACTGGGCATCAAGTAGTTGTCTTTGGGTATAAGCTAGTGTATCGTGTATTCTGCACGAAACTAGTAATTGATGTTCCAAAAATGTGATACTTGTTACTGTGTGTGAACATGTTTTGTGTAACACATTTTTCCAAGAAATGTTGGCCATTTATCCTTTTGATAGTTAGTGGTGTTGATACTCGTTCGTTTTATGCCACTATGTGTATGTATTTGCTTGTGTACCTGAATTTGATGCTTACTACCAACAAACATGTGTAGGTTGCTCACAGTTACCTGTTGTAAATAATTTAATGGGAACAATACGGGTAGCTAACAGTTAAATGTAATGAGTTAAGTGTGAGTCCAGTCAAGTGTAGTCACAATCCTCGCACTAATTAATCGATGTTTCAACCATCTCGGTATACCTCATTCTGTTCCAATCCTTTGGATAACCTTCTGCTGCACACGGACATCTGTCTGAGAAATTAATCAGTGTGGCTCTTAATTGCATGTTTTGTACTTTGATACTCATTTAGGTAAATGCGTAGATAATGAAGCCATATTCTAGTGTCTTTGCTAAATTATACTAACTTCACGTTGTTCCTAGTCGGGATTGAATACCTCGAAATAAAAAAACAAAAAAATAATGTTTAAATATATTGCATTAAAATGGGAAGATGAACAAGAAGCACTGTCCTGTATTCATTGCTATCACTTTAATTGCCTGACGTTAATTGCTGCTAAATGACTTGGATGGTACCACAGAGATTTTCCATGCATCAATTTCACTTCCTAGCAATCAGTCTTGTGTGCCGAGGCAGGTGGACTAGCAGGATTGATTAGATAACCTACGCTAATTAAATAATAACAGCATTGTTGACATAGGCGTGAGTCATGCATGATACGTGTGTCTACCTGCATATCGTGATCGTGTTATTGTCCTACTTTGGAGGCAATTATAAACGCGTATCACTATCATTATTACACTCGATCTTGTGTGCATGTCCATTGTACAGCAACAGCCTACAACAGCACAAGGCTACCTGAGTCAGATAAATGAACTATTTAGCGAAGAAAATTTAGCCATGCTGGCCAGTTCAAACCGGTTGGGTGTCATAAAGACTCGTGATCAGAAGCTATGTAAAGCTTTTGGCGCGCGTGTTGCCTATCCCTACGTGTCGATGCCAGGTTCCAACATTTCGAGCTTATTACCAATAATGAGGAAAGAAACACTCAATAACTGGATAATTATAATCCACCGTGCACCTGTTCGATCATTATGATGCCGTTTCGTTATTACTTGCTCTATGTTGGTCCACGCAGTTGCTAGCTACGTGAAGAGCGACGAGGGTATTAGTCCGGCGGTGAGAAATTGACAGTCATTGCCACGCCGCTCCTGCGGGTAACTGATTTAACGCGTTCATGGACACGAGCAATTTAGTACCATGTAGCTGGAGTCAGGTAACGACAGTGTCGTTGACATACAGGCAGGTAAATACTCTTCCTTGGTATATAACTTGGGATCCGGGGCAATGAACTTTGATCGAAAGTTGTGATTGGATCTGTCGGTGTGTGGTACAACCGGTGCCGCATGAAGCGCTACTACACTTCGTTGATTGCTCAGAATGAAATCGTTGTTAAACTTAATCGCACACGTTTAATTTCCGAGACACCCCGCTGGCGGCGTATTATGCATGTATAATTTCCATTGTTTGATGAAAAATCGTGCATATCTCTCATGTTACCATGTTTTGATGAGCTCAAAGTCCTATAGTTTAAAGCAAAAAAATACGATTGTTTTCTACACTAGCACTGATAGGTGTCTTCATGGTAGTGCTGTGTGACTAATTAATGAAACTGATTGTTATCACTAAGACGAATATTCATTAATATCCAAGCCAACAATCGGTAGGCCTATGTGTGTAAACAATATAAAGACATTCCTTATTCGTTTGTTATGCGTCAAGCGTCATTGCGACTGATTTTCGACCAACGCTCGGTTGTTACTCAGGTTATCTCGGATAACAAACGGCACGTCACTTAATAAACTTAATAGTCACGTCACTTAATAAAGACATCACGTCACTTAGATACAATAGTTTCATTTGGAGAGCACCAGTGCGTTCAACGAGCAGTAATATCAAATCTGCGTATATTAACAAATGGTTTTATTGTTATCAGAGACGACTTATCAAGTTCTATTGATGCATTCCCCTACAAGGAAGCAATTGTAGCTTGCAAAGATAATGTACATCAGGGGCGTAAATCCGGGGGGGGGGATGGGGGGATGCATCCCCCCGCTCTTGAAGGAGGGGTGGATGGTCTGTACAAATATCCCCCCTGAGATTAAAAAAAAAGAATAGCCAAAAAGTATGGTTGCAAACATACAAAAACACGTGAAATTGTGAGCAATTGCAATTCTTACCTGTGTTTTAATACATGTATTATTACTATAGTAACCTAACTGTGTACGCTCTCTGAAAAGTCATGAAAAGTGTTTTGAATCCTAACTTGTAGGGTTGAGTCTAGGGTTGAGATAGTGTCATCAGACATGAGAATATGGCCCACAGTATGCCTCAGATTGCAGGAAAATGGCTTAAATATTTCAAAATTTTGCTTACGGCACGCGGGCCTGCCTGCGGCAGCCAAGGTTACTTTCGCCCCCGGCTGTCGCCGATCATCCCCCCACTCCTCGGTACGGATTTACGCCCCTGACGTACATCAACTGAAACATGCTTGAAAACGACGAGATTTTATCGTTGTGGGCGTAATATCTCTAAGCAGTGGGATTGTGTTTGTGATACCATGTGCGGTTCGATAAAAATCATTTCCAATAATTAAACAAATCTAATCTTATCTGAACTGAAATTGTCTCGAAAATCATTTTCGCCAAAAAATCAGATGTGTATTTTTTGCGCTATTATAAAATCACGTTTCTCCAATAGTTAATGTCGCTACACATGTCGATACATGTGTTAGTAAGTTAGTAACGCGTGCATTATGTCATGAGACTGAAAGTCCAGTTTGAAGTGTTGAGACTGAAGCCTCGCGGGCTTTAATTATGCATCGTCGCAATCACGTTCATCAGTCGCAAACTCGATATACGCGAGCATCGTAGAGGTTTCGTCGATTAGTGCCAGAAGGCAGCGTATAACTTTGAGAGTCTCTGCGAAAACAACTTTCACCCGTTTGCGGTCGTTGCTCCACATTGAGGTAACTACCGACATGCAGTCAGTGACGGTTAGTGTGCCGTTAACCGCAACCTTTGACATCCGACACGAGTCGGATATGCGCACACCGCGACAACATAGCGCCTATTTTGTCGCGTGTAGAAAGCGCGACAATTAAGGAATCGACGTTTGGCCCTTTGGAGCATCTGTTCGCGCATGCGCGTATGCACCCAAAACTTCAGTCTCTTGTCCGACATGATATATCTCATTTCGACTGACGACTTGTTAAGGTTTATCGGTATTTGCAATACAACGATCGAACCCAATTGATCATTGAAAATCATATGAGAGTATATGTAGGAAATGTCTGACGCGGGCACCGCTATTTTGTTTGTCCGCGAGAATATCACGGACCAATCTCGTTAAAATTAAATAAAGACATACACGTTGGGACTGTATTCGGTAGACGCCTGTGCGTATGCCGAGTTCGTTCGTATATATATGTTCATGTATATTCATTCGTTCCTGTGTAAGAATAGAGGAATTCCAGGCAAATCATTCTTCAAAACACGGGGAAATTTCTGATGTCAGATATCTGAGCAAAACGTGTATGGAATGCTCAAATGTAGCTACTCGCTTACAAAACACTTTAGAATAGAACAAATGATTAAGACCTCCCGTGGTATAGGGTAACTGGTAGAAACATTGTCTATCATCGTAGCTGTAATTTTTTTCCAGATATCCCGTGCCATGGAGGCCCTCGTGTATTCCTAGATTTTCATACAAGAGAAATGAAACGTGTAATAAACGCTTTCCTGTAAAGTGGATTGTTTCCTTAATGGATATAACCAATCTGCTTAGAATAACTACTCAACAAGAACGCGTGATCATTCAGCGGCGGCTGGTGTGAACCTTATTAACGATATTTGCTTGAAAACCTAAATGCGGGATACTGTCGGTATAACACAATTCAAAAATGAACGAATGCACGTTTACACCGATGTATTTGTGCAGGTAATATAATATGTCGATATTTCGATAGTAATCTAACCGTTTATAGTAGGTTTATTCATTAGTATGTACTGCCACCGCCTAGCCGATGTATCGCGTTAGATTCTGCTAGGTCCGTTTGTATTGCAGATGTAACCTTTGTAATACTGCGTGCCAGTTCCTTGACTTGTAATGTAGATCAACGACCTGAGCTTGTCAAGGGAAAGTGGTTTCTACTGCGCGCTATATTAAACTCTGGCAAACTCCAGTAAACGCCAAGGGAACACGTATACGCTTTATAATGTTCGTCTAGCTGTGTGTTATGACGCTTGATAGACACACTTCTTGGTTCTGCCTCCCCATATATGCAGAATCCATAGATTCCTGCGTAGTGCGTACGCTGTATATATACATGTATCATGAATTATCTATGGCTTTTCCGATTTCTTTCATTTATTCATTGTTTCTTTCTTTCTTACTTACTTTCTTTCATTTTTCTGCTAAACTTCATAAGTCGAACTTCGGAATTTAATAGAATTGTGCTTCCATGCATGCATGTAGATTTATACAAAATCGCGATGCATCCTCGATAGCGCCGTGTGTTCATTGCGTATGATGGAATGCTGTGCTGGTTAATACCGACAACTTCATTTTTTAAAATCTTATTTTAGTTACAAACGGCAGCGGTCGCGATGTCGCGCGTTAATTTCATTACAGCCCTCCACACTCCGCGCTTACGCAGTGTTGGCTACATAGTTTTTCAGCTGCAGAGTGCAGGGTGATTGCTAACCGCTACATCGGTGCGCGGTTGCTTTCAGTGTTCGATCTACTCTGAAGCCACCGGCAAGCAGAGCTGCGACTAGCGATATGGCAAAGGTCCCGGTCATTGCACCAGTTGCACGACTCGTTTGGCGAAATATAGAGCAACGACCTGAGAATATGAAAGTTGTTGAAGTTATCTAGATGTCTACGTCGAATATGGTGTCTATGTATACACACAAAGGGATACAGATGCACGAAGCATAACCGCCCCGTGGCTTAATTATTTATGTATTTGTAAGTTAAGTATACTGATCGTATCATATAAACGCATAATAGTTCCCATTATATATTTTGCTTTGTGGCGTCGTTTGATTATTTTGCGTCAAAATACATGCCAGCGTCTACGAATGAAATTTTGTTTTATATAATTATGCAAATTATCGCCGGTCACTGAGGCGAGGCATCCGCTCTAATACCCGCGACTGTGCATGCTTGCTTAAATACATGTGCACAGTAACTGTTTGACTAATCAATTGATCTACATGAAATACGTACCGTATCTAGTTTGTTACTTATATATTATATATGCGGTTTGGTTTATAAATGAATAGTCAGTAATGGTAACTATATATATTTCCTCTGTCCATATTGAACTGGTTTTTTCATTGTTTCCTGGTCGGTCGAATATTTTGCAGGCTGAGAGTTAGAGGGTGGTCCTGCGAGACCAGAAATTAACCGATGTCGAACTATCAGCTAATTTAAAATTAAAC